CACAAATTGCAAATTGCAATTGCAAATTGCCGACTGCAATATGCTCGGCCATGGGCCAAAGGCAAATGCAATTTAAATAATTAATAACGCACACACAATTTAATTTCATTAGGATAATTCTAATTAGAAAGTGGAGCTGCAGTAGCTGCAAGTTGTTGCTGTTGTTGTTGTTGCTGTTGTTGTTGTTGTTGTTGTTGCCCTATCGCCTGTGTCCAATCGCTGCCTACAAAAGCCCAATTTTCGTTTGAGTGTATGTGTGTGCATGTGTTTAAGCTGAAATTTAATTGAAATTGTGGCTGTCATTGTAAAATTAATGAATAGACAAGCAGCACACATACACACACACACGCACACACTCTGCTGCACACTCATAGAAAAGCAATTACATTTAACAGCTGCCTGGGCAACTGCATTGATGAGCTTTGGCTCTGATGCAAGTCTGATAAATAGTCATGCACATATATACTATATACCAGATATATATATATATATGGTATATTATGTAATGGCTTTGCAGATAATAACGCAACATGGACACTGGCTAATTAAATTGGTTTGCGGACGAGGCGTCGGTGTTGAACTGTGCTATATTAAAATCCATTTAAATCTAACAAATGTATCGATATTCTTTTGGACCAATGGCCACAGTGTCCTATCATAGTTAATCATCTAAAGAAGCATTTTGTTTGTTTGCCTGTAACTGTATGTGTGTGCTTGTGTACTTGTGTGTGTGTTGGTGTGCGTGGCCGTTTTCTGTGTGTCGCCATTGTTGGCCATACATTTCCAATCAGATAAACCTGCAGCCCAAACGCACGAGCGCACAAACCATGGCCATGGCAGAGACAAGAGGAAGAGCAACAGCAGCAGCAGCAGAAGCAGCAGCAGCACCAACAGCAGAGGAGCAGACAGTAGCAGGCGGGGTGGCAGGCAGAGGCAGACGGTAGGAGGCAAAGGCCCAATGTTATCGGAACGCTGTTGCCACTGCCACTAATTAGTTAATGCATGACCAAATAATTGTTGCCATCGCTGCTTTTGTTCGCCACTATTTATATAAATGTATATACCTATACATATACATATTATATATAAGTATTAACATAGCTATGCGTAGTTCTATATTACATAAGCCCATATTATATGACGCACTAAGTGCCTTCTACAGTTGAACGGGCTAATTTGAATTCTATCTCATGTTGAAAATTATATTAAAGCTAGAATGAAGAAAAGTACTCAGTTTTCTGTAAAGTACCGAATATTCAAAACTATATTTTTGCCGTTAGGTTTATGACATCGTATTTGATATAGATGTCCGATGCTGTTAATCCAAGTGATTCGATCCATCTGGCTTTGACATATGTTATGCCTGCGGCAAATTGACGGATACCAAATTCATTTATTTTTAATAGATAAATACAAGAAAGAAAGTCTTACTTCGTCGTATCGCAAGTCCTTGTAGACATACATCCGACTTAGGGTTAGGCTTAAGAAACTCAAAATTGCTGAATTTTGGTGTTGATATCTTGAAAAGAAAAAAAAATATATATATATATATAATTTTCGTACAAAAACTTATTTTTCGAGTTATTCTTCGTATATACATATATATGATCTAGGCGTGAGATATTGATTGGACTTGCTCATTTTTATAAACTATGCAAGTAGAGTATAGTTACACTGTTGTGTAGCTTACAGCGTATTAAGATTGAGGGGTATTTACAATGATGGTTGTGGACATAGTCTAATAATCTCAAGGACTTAAATAGTTCGCCTAGTTGTTAGGTCGCAGAAGTGTATCTTTGGAAGCGCCTCTCTGTAATTGGGCTAGCCAGGATCCTGGCGACAGCGTTTTGATGCTGCAGCAGTTTGGCGGTGTAGCGGCTGCTTAAGAAATGTATCTGATCTCTGACCCTTGTTAGGCGAAACTTCATCGTAGGGCTGACCTATGCCAAATTTGGCGAAGATATCTTAAGAACTTAAGCTCCGACCAATGGTTAAGATTTTGCTCGTATGTAAGGGGCATAAGGGAAGTTTGGTCAAGATGACCTTATTTGATGACCAAACAAGTTATTTAAACAAGATCTTAATTTTCGACCGATCATTCCGATGTCAGCTATATGATACGACGAGAGCTTGTATTTTTATATCGACTCGGCTATAGCTACTGATCAAGAATAGATATACTTTAGAGCTTTGAGATGTCTCCTTAAGTGCGTTAAATATATCTTGTCCTAATTATAATATCCTGCTAGAGTATAAGCCTCTTTTTCAAATAGTTTTATTATGCTTTGTTGAAATTGGCAAATATTGCAACTGAATGGAGAAATATTAAACTCTATGTTGGCCCAAAACCTCTATTTTCCAAACCAAAGTGTCGGATATTGTGATGAGATATTATAACATAAAAACTACTTTAATTCCTGATTTTCATCATTGAGGTGAAATTGTCAAGAATCCTTTATGACGTAATAACAAATAGGATATGTAAACAATAAGAATTTCTAAAGTTTAAGGTAAAATTAAACCATGCTTTGATTATAGTTCAGAAAATATTAAAATTCTTATGTAGAGAAAAGCGCACAGTTCATAACTTAAATTTTTCTTTAATTGAATGCTGAAGCATTTCTATAAAAAGATTATATTAAATATTACTAAAAAATTAAAAAGATTGTGTCTTTTCAAAAAGTCCTAAAACCTATTGAAAAACGTTACTATTTTTTTTTCCTTTTTATCATAATGAGATTTTATTAAAGAACTTTTCGGAGGTTGCTTACAAGATTTTCAATACATATTTCAATCTAGTCAGTTATATTGATATAGTTGTCAGGAAGAGGATTGTGTTTTGTTGATTAGCATAAGCCGTTCAGCCTATTAGCTATAGAAACGCCCCGATCGCAGAGACTACAACAAATATATGTCGCTAGTCATGAACCAGTCAGAACCAATCGAACTAATCGAGCTGCTAGCACATGTCCCCAGCTATCTATTAGATAATCATAAAGGCCCTACGTTTGTTCTATTCCTGTGCGTTTGACCTGGCCTAAACACTAATTAGCTAATGCATGCCCAAATATTTGTGACTGCCGCTGCTGCTACTTTGTTCAGCTAGCCATTGATTTATGCTGCCATATTGTATTTTAGGCTGGTTTATGTTTTGGTTATGGTCAGCTGCGTGTGGCATGTAGCGTTTCCCAGGCACAGCACATATGAATATGCGGCCCACCAGGGCTTATCGCAGATGCTGATTAACTGATTTATATATGGCCAGTCATTTGTAATGCATTGATCGCCGCGTTCAAGTTCTGCGACTGTCCATAGCTGATGGAGAACAGTTCAACTAATGTCATAGTTTTATTTGTGATTATTTCAAGTTAATTGCGCACACCCCACAAAAAAAAAGTACCGAATAACAATGTAATTATATAACAATTATGGGCGTGGTCAGGTAGAAACATTGACACATGCGAACTTGAATGCAATTAGACAAATGAGGGTCGCCCCCAAATGGGACTCACAGGGAGCTCATGTGATGCTGTGCAATTTCTCCGACATGGATCTGCACAATATGGCGACTATATAAACGATTGTTGTTGTTGTTGTGCTTGGCTGCATTTAACGTGCATTTAATTGTCGGCTCAATTACACTGCCCAAAAGATGCACTCGCCGTGATAGGCTAGGTATTTGTATATATTGTTATTATTTCATTAAATAGATGCTTGATGAGCCTTGCGTGTGGCTGCAAAAAAAAAGCGAAAATGAAAAATTGGCACAAGGTGCAACGGAAGCGGATGCCCGTTGACAATTAATGGAATTAGCCAATGCACATTGATATGTGGCTTTAAGCACATACAAATTCGCTTAGCTGGATGCCGACTTTATGGCCGCCAGACACGCGTTGGCCATTAATTAGCGCCATGCCCATAAAACCAGGGGGCAGTCTAGTTTTTAACTACTCATAAACTGAGCGAAGGTACTTTACATACCTATGCTTATTTGCAGTTGATGTGCGCTTTATGACCAGCCGGCGCACTCGTAAAACAAAAGACTTAGGTAACGAACTTTGGCGGCTAATGCTTGAATGTGTTTCTACTGTGCTTGTGCTGTCTGTTGGCTGGTGTTGCCGTTGTCGTACCAATAAATTAACATGCCATTTCACGCCTCAATACAAGCAACTGCGTCTCCAGCTCATAACTCATGCGTTCAATATACAACAAATGCCGCATAACAAATGACCAACTGGGCCAAAAGACGTTAGAACTTCGGCGTTGGCCAACACCTCGGCGGCGGCAGAGACGACCAAGACGGCAAAGACGGCGCACGTTTTGTATTGAAGACGCATCGAAATTTAAAGAGCAATTCATAAGCATAAATGGGCATTATAAATACATTGCTTCCACACAATTGTCTGTCTGCACAATTGTGCGCCTCGGCTGATTTCGATTTCGATTTGTGTCCAATCATCTGGCCGCAATTAATCAATCTTGGCCGTCAGTTACCGTTCTACAGTTTCACTAACACAATTAGAGGCAACTCGCTTTTTTTTTTTTCATAAATTATTTTATTTATTTTTTGTTGTTTGCTTGTTTTTGTTTGTAGTTTTTTTTTTTGTATTTTTATATATTTTTTTCTGATTTTTGTATATCTTTTCTGGTGGCCTTTAAATTTAAATAAACGTATGTTTTTTTTTTTATATATTCAACTATCAATATGGCCAATTACAATACATTTATCGCATATGCTTACAACATATATATCTGTAGCTCTAGAAGTAAGTATACATATACATATTACATATTCTTTTTATCCATTTTGTTTTTGTTTTTGTTTTGTTTTACCTCACACGCACATAAATTAAGTTTAACACTAAATTTGTAGTATATGTACACAGAACTTAAGCGGTTATTTAAAGTTTTATAAATACTTTAGTTTCTTTTTTTTTTGCTAAAATTATACAAAAATTGCTAACAAATGTTTTTTTTTAAGTTTTGTTTATGTTTATCGGTTTTTTTTCTCATATTTTACAAATTGCCTTTAACATTGAATTGATTTAAATGTATTTTATGTTTATTTTTAAGACTTAGCCATAAACATTGAACATTTATATGTACATATAGTATGGGCTTGTGTGTATATGTATGTGTGTATGTATGCCTTATAGTACATACACTGTCCTACCATTTGACTTCATTTTGTTTTTTCTTCCATCTCTTTGCCTTGCTATTAGGTTAAGTATGTGTTATTAAAAGTTAATTTTACATTTATTAAATTGTTTAAATTTATGTTTTTTCTTTTTGTTTATCACGTCTGTTTGTTTAATGTCTAATAATTTAACTAATTTACAGTTTAAAGTATTTTGCAATTTACAATTGCATTGCGTAATAGGACAAACATTTTGCAGTTGCTTTATACTAAACAGTTTTTCCGTTTTTATGCGTGTTTTTTTTTACTTTGTTTTTGTTTTTTTTATTTTTGGACGTGCATTTAATGAATTAATATTAATGCTTAGTTATCGTTAGTTTCTGTGTGCTTGTTGTTGCTTTTGTTGCTGCTCTTGTTTTCAGTTAGAGATATACATACATATATACATATTAATATTTATGAAATTCCGTTTGTCGGGCTTTTGTTTTTATTTAATTTGTATTTTTTTAATAATTTTATTTTGTATATTTTTGCTGATTTTATGGCAGTTCATAAAGCACAATTAAATACGCCGAAATTGCGTCAAGAAATTAAATTAATTAAGCGAAAAATAAAACAATGAATACACACAATCACACACACACACACATACACATACACACACATACACACACACAAACGATCGCAATAAAAATAATATGTGCGGCCCTTTAATTAATTTTAATGGGCTTTGTTTTAGCTGCTGGCCGACAACGACGAAAACTTAAATAATTAAAAATTGCACGCAATGTTTACAATTAGGAATAGCCAGCACTTGACCAGCGAGCACACCGCCCGCACTTCCCGCAAAGATAAGCTAGGAGATCTCCAGATGTGGCTCCTGCCTGCTTGAAGGTTCTGACGCGCTGCTCCTGCTCCTGTTTCTGCTGCTGCTGTTGCTTGTGCTCTGGTCAAATGGCTGCGAAGGGAGAGTCCTCAGTTTGGCATTGTGTTTGTTTGGAAATCAAGTCAGTTTACAAATCGGCGCTGCTCTAGCTGAACAAGTTGTTGTTCAAATTGTTCCCGCTCCATCACGTGTAGTCAGTGCGCCAGGTGCCCTGCAATTGTAGAGAGGGGGAAGAGTGGGGGAGCACCCAAAATGGAGACTTTAATAAACATTGCGCTACGCTCTCGCTCTCTCTCTCTCTCTCTCTGTCTCTCTTTCGCTGTCTTGCTCTTATACAGCTCGTCTCTTATACGACGCGTACTCACCATCGAGCTGAGACCCAAGTGATAGGGCTGAGAGTGTGGCACAACGCCGCCGCCCAGTGAACCCGCCGTGGAGAAGCCACCCTGGAGTCCACCGGAGGCGCCCAATGCGCCCATGCCGCCGGTATACCAGCTGCCGTGCATATGCGCATGTGCCGGATGCAACCCGCTGGAAAGGTGTCCATGTTGCGCTGGAATGGAAACAAAAGGCGATATATGCTTAGCATGGCATTGGACACGCTGGCTCATTGTTGCTTACCCATGGAGGCCGAGAAGCCGCCGCCAAAGCCCTTGGACGGATCAAGCGGCTTGAAATCGCCCATGCCCAGATGTCCGCCAATTGGCAGACAGCCGCCACCCAGGCCCTTCTTCTTCTTTGACTTGGAGCTGAGCTTGCGATTACGCGTTTGTATGCCCTCCTTTTTCATGGTAAGTGGACGATTGACCTGCAACAAGAGGAACAAACACATATGAGGCAGCTGTTTAGTGGGTGTGTTGCAAATAGGCGGCAAAAAAAAAATCAATAAACTGTGTCTGCTGCTGCTGCTGCTGCCCAGCGGCAACTAAAATGGGTCAAATTTATGCAAATTCATGGCGCGGCCCTTTTTGGCCGGAAATGCCGCTAACTGCACACGCTGTCTGTTGCAACGCACTGTGCGGCACACAACTGTGTGGCAGCAGCAGGAGCAGCAGTCGGGAACCGGGAAGTGAAAATGAAGTATTACAAGCATTTCTACACGATCAGATAAGCGACATTTGCGAATGCGATTAGTTGGCGCTGATAGCAAACGTCGCGCTGCCAGAGGGGCGAGACGCAAACGAAGCTACTTTTTATACCCTGTTTTTTTCGCTCTTCAGTGTTTTTTTTTGTTGTTGTTGTGTGTATGAGTCCATTGTTGGGGCTGCCTGCCTGCCGCTTCATATGCAATTTCCTATCACTTGCGAACATCTAAGCGGCAACAACAGCGCCTCATTGCGCTACAATTACAATATTGAGTTACCCATTCGCCGAGGCTGCGTTGACGACAAAGAAAAGTTACATTTTCTCTAAATAATAAGGTATATATATATATATATAGTAGCTAGCAGTAGTTGCACTTAATGGAGAGTGGAGTGTGGAGTGTGCAGTCCGGGACTACCTGGGCGTGAATTACGACATTGTTTGTGGCCCTTTTTCTGTTGCTTGTTGCCCCGAAATTGTTAAATTGCCGGGCAATTGTTTGTGTGAGCCGCTTGACGAAAGATTTTTAAAGGCGGAGGGTTGAATTGTGTAATGCAGCGAAAACAACGGCAAACAAGAGCAAAATGTATCAGTTACAGTGGGCACACAGAGGGATGGCTGTAGGGAGGGGGGTTAGGGGCGAGGGATGCTGCTGCTGAATTGGACGATCGGTAATTGATAGTCTCTCTGGTCTGTGCCGCCTCCCTAGCGTTTAGCGCAAATTGTGGCAATTAGCAGCTTAGCAGCAGCTGCTCAAAAGCTTTAATTGATATGCAGCAGCAGTGGCAGCAGCAGTGGCAGCCGCGGCGATTAAACAAAGCATAAAGTTGTTAATGCGCTGGGGCGCACAGGCCTAGCTCATTAAGGAATTCAGCAGAAACTCCAGCCGCAGAGCAGCGCTGATTTTTATGCATAAAATCTTAATCGAGCGTGCGAACGAGCGTTTTGCGTTTGGGGCATGCAACATGGGGGCAACACGCGCCGCTGCAGCTCACTTGCAATCTGACAGGCTGCCAAAGACAGCCAAGTGGGTGGGCTGCATGTAAAAAGGGGCGAGTCGCACAGAGCTGTTGCCTGTTCTTGGCAAATTGGCTGAAACGGCGCCAGGCGCATGTCTCTAACGCTGCCGCAGTTAGCTGTTGCAGCTGCAGCTGTGACACAACAGGATATTCAACAGCAAGCGCACAGCAGGAGCTGATAAACAGTTAAACAGGCTGTGCAACAGGACGCGTGCTTGGGCGACGGTAAGTGTCTGATTTTTGGTCTTAATTAGCGCACTTTTCCAGCGAACTGTGTGAAGACACGCGCAACGACAATCACGGAGAGAGAGAGAGAGGGGTGGATTGCACTAAATGCAGTCAACATTTCCATAAAATGTGCCAATCACATGGCCAGATCGCTCAGCCAAGAGGCCCACACAGGCTGACGACGACGACGTCGACGATGGCGGCCAAATGACAAACGAATTGAATTGAAATGAACTGCTAGAGCTAGGCAGCAGCAGCAGCAACAACAACATCAACAAAAACAACAACAACCATAGCACTGAACACTGAGCAATGCAAAAAGCGCGCTGATTGGCATCTTATCAAGATGGGACACTGTCCAATTGAAAGAAAATTTTTGCAAAATAAATTTCGCCGCTATGAATGCGCAGGCTCATGTGTGTATGTTTGTGTGTAGGCCATTAGCTGGCAAACACACACACAGACACACTCACACAGACATACACGCTCTCGCGCCACCCAAAGCGTGCACATTTCTATATATTTTTCCTTTTTGGCGCATTGCTCATACGCCACGTTGCAAGCGGTCGCCGCTTTTAGTGTTAACATGCCTGCACATCAGATTAGATTTATATGGAGCATATATGCACAATGTATATGGCTTGTGCTGCACTTGCTTTGATATATGGTATATATGCCACACTCCGACTTCGCGCAATTAAAACATTTCGCCACCGCCAATTGCCGATTGCCATCGAAATCGAACTGCAGTTTCAACGGTTGCAGCTGCCACACAAAAATAAAAGCCCCCCACCGCAAAATTAATTAGCTTGCGGTCACACAGGTGGCCCATCAATTTTGGGCAGCCCACACTGACATGTAAATGTGCTAAAAGTTCAAGTGATTTCTCTCAAAGTTTTGCCGCATTCACCGAAACTCATTAAAAGCACACTGGCGGGCATTACAAAATAAAAAAAAAACAAGGGTATAAAATAAAAAACTTAAAAAACAAGTAAGGAATCAAGGAAACAAAGCAGAGTTGTCTAATGTTGCGAGTCTGACTAGGCAATGCCCTGTAACTACAGCTTCATATTAAAATTTTGTATCACAAAATTACCTACATTTTGATAAGTTTGATATAAGCAACTGAAGACTACATACTCTATCATAAGTAGCTCTGTTTCTTAAGCAGCTATGCTGTTTTCTAAATTAAGAATGCGTACTTTGTACAGAGCCAAAGAGCCTTATAATATCTTGAAACTGATGTTTTGCTGTTTAAAGAAGAGTTATCCATCTCAAGATTTAAGCAGGGTATATCAAAATGAATAATTATAGAGTTTTCGTTGATACCAAAGGTCTCCTTAGAAATTCATAATGATCTTATATGCCTATATCATGAATCTATAACGTATATTTTAGAAAGTTTTAGCTGTTCCTACAGTATATCATAATTGATTTCTAGGGAATACAAACGAACATATACTTTTTAGAACCTGAGCTATAGCAAAAGTATTGCCAAGCTACCCAAAAACTATGATGTATAGAACCTACGAGCTTTCATAAATCTAGAATATATACTCTGCCTAAAGTTACCTGAAAAGGACTACCCGGAAGTATAACACCTCATAGAATATAAAATATATTTAAATTTATATTTAAAGCAACAATAGACTGTCTCTGTTTTGAAAGACTCGCTCTACATTGTTATTAATAATATGAAATGTAAAAATTTTCTTTATTCTAATATATTTTATAGTCCCACCTTTGTCAATCTTTCTGCCAGCTACAAGCTTAAGCGCATATAATACCCTATAAGCCAGTTTTTTTTTAGAGGGTATCGCATATCCTAAGCGCTAACGTTTATGTGCCGTCGTGGCTAATGAATATTTAATAAGCCAGAAGTTGGTCAAAACAACCCTCTGAAGCGGGGGGGCAACAGGGACGTCGGCCAGCCCCTCAGGGCGCGAAAATGTTATTAAATCTAGTTTCCACATGGCTCGACAGCGTCTATATCATTGGCTGCATTTCAAGGGGGGAGCACAGAGGGGTGTAGTCAACTCAGTGAGCCGTAGTCTATTACATAAATTACGCCAATTTCTGGGCGCTCGTCGCCGGTTGCCGTCGCCGTCGCCGTTTGCCGTCGCACGCGTTAGCCATAATAAAATCAAAGCTTATCGCATTTTCACAGCCAAACACCAGACGCTTATCTTGCAACAGCAACAGCAGCAACAACACGAGCAACACGAGCAACAACCACGACGGGCATCTTTAAATAATCATCAACAATTCATCATCGGGGTTGTTGCTGCTGCCGCTGTTGCTGCAACCTGCCACCCTCTTTGGGCGTCTTACAAAAAGGGGGCGTTGGGTGTGTGGTACACTTCATTTTTGTCACTTTTAATCTGTGTGTGTTTCCCGTGCGCTGCTTCCGCTGGAGAGCGCTTGAGTGGCCCGAGCGGCTGTTAAATGTTGCGTTAAATCGCTTAAGCGCTTAACGAGGGTTAAAAGCGAAGCCAAACCGATCACAAATCACAAATCGATGGCCCGCTGGGCCAACCTCTGATTTATAGACAGCTATACACATATACATATATACAGGATTTAACTATAGCTATTTGACTTTCTACTTACATTGTGCAGCTTGTAGTACAATCCGCAGGCATTGCACACGGGCTCGCCGCTGGCATTGCGCCGCCAAAGGGTTGTGGTTGTGGTCTTGCAATTGGCGCAGGATGTGCCCGCCCGCTTGGCCGCGCTCTGCAGCGACTGTAGTGTCTGCAAAAAGAAGGAAAAAATTAGAATTTGATTAGTTTAGCTTGGTTAGCTTGGTTATGCGCTTGACTGCAGTCGAATTTTTCTCTCGTTTTTTTATTATTGATCATTCAGGCAGCAGTCGAGCTTTAACAAAATAATTGAATAACTAACATTAGTCGAGGAACCCAACATTTTATTATATATTGCCCGACTAGGTGATACCCTGAATCTAGCGACAAGCTTCTTTATGCAGTCCGGTGTTTGAAGTCCGATTTCTATGAAATTCGCAAGGCTTAAATGTGGCTTAGAAGAGTGTTCATATAGCAAAGCGTGCATGAGTTTTTTCTTTAATCATGGTGGGAACGCCGAAAGGAGCGGGGGCATTAAGAATAATATCCTATACGAAAATCTACATACCAAGTTGTATCTTGCTCTTATAATCTTTGAGATATGCTTAGAAAAAAGTGTCTCAAAATCGATATTTATCGATATTAGGTGAATGGAAGGAGATATCGGAATGGAATGTTTATATCAGAATAGAACAGAAAACTTCAAGTCTCAGGTGCTGATGCAGCGTTATTCTGAATTATTTGGATTCGCCAGATTTAAACACGCTATCTCCAAGTACGGTCTCCTAACTAAATTGTAAATGGCCCGCTTATATCTTAGAACTAGCCTGTGTTTTTACACATTTTAAAGTAAAGAAAATATACTCTTTGGACTTGTCAGGGTGAACTAGTGCATTTCAGCGGGCTTCGAGGAATTTTTTCTGGAACAGTATTCAATTACATTGAGCAACTCTTGTCGCAGCATCAGCAGCTTGAGGCAAGAAAATTGATTATGCTAATGTCACACGCCCACAAATATGTTGGTCGCGCTAATTGAACGGTGCCAAAACTAACGCAGCACACACACACACCCACATACACACGTACACACATACACACATTCACACGCACACACACACAAACACAGATAAACAGGTAAGTGCTTAGTGCTCTGTTCAGGTCCTGTTCTCTGGATTGCAAACAAAGTTGCTCGACACACCAGGCAACAACATTTTTTAAATGGCATGCGGACTCCAAGTTGGGGCCTTTAACAGCAGCATCAATTCATTAAAATGACAATTTTTACAAAACTGCCCAAAAACAACAGCAGCAACAACAACAGCAACAGCAACAACAACAACTGGGGAGCATGTCTGCGCCACGCTTAAATTTCCACGAATTGGCTACAAGAACCGTAGCCCCAAACTCGAGACCGAAAACATTGTCTGCAGTGCCTCGTCGCCGCAGCGAAGAGCCAGAACCGAGAATCGAGAATCAAGAATCGAGAACCCAGAACCAGGCAGCAGGCCCCAAAGTAGTCTTGTGGCCTCGCATCTGGGCTCTGCAGCTACATCCACAGCTACAGCTTCAGCTTTTGGCTTATGTTCATGTTGCTCGTACAGCAACAACAACTACGACAACAACGACAACAACAACAACAACAAGAACAACGCAAACACATTGCAACGCGGCCCTAAACTGGCGTTGATCATGTTTGACTTTGATTTTTAATTGTTGCCTCCTGCCTCTGCGCCCTGCTTGTGGCTCACCTGTTCTGGTTTCGCCTTGCTGCCACGCTGCCATTAACATAAATCAGAGGTCATGCCACAAGACTCTCCCCATCCCAACTGCAGTCGGAGTTGGAGTCGGAGTCCGTTGTCGCAGTCGCGCTGCAACAGTGTCTGCATATTTTTTGGTGGCACTGTTGTTGTGTGTTAACGAGCTTGTAACAATTTCACATACAGACAGCTGCGACTTGCGGCCAAATCGAAATCGAAATGTGCGAGAATTCAAAATTCATTTGCAACGCCTACAAATGCTGGCTCCACCAACAGCTCCAGGTAATTATGTGGCCAGGCCAAAGCGACTTTATATATATATATATATATAAATTAAGTTGTTAACATGACACTGCAACAAAACGCACTAAGCAGGCGAATGCCACAAAATGTTGCAAGTCTCAATTCGTAATCCCTAACCAGGCCAAACTGGTCGCTGTGAGTTGTAGGTGCTAAATTGCAGCATGTTTATTTGGGACTGTTTAAGCAGGCACTGTGTTTAGCTAACAGTGCCACAAAATGTGGCACATAAATCAATGTCAGGCCGGGCGGGTTTTGGCTGTTGCGGGGCAGGGCGCTCGGGGCGGCAGCATCGTATTGACAAACTGTCAAACATTGTCAAAGGGGCGCATTTTAATTGAAATGCAAAAAGCGCAAGCGCCAACACTCAAACAACAGCAACAACAGCAACAATAGCAACAAAAACAAGGCGTACACAAGATGGCGCTTGCGATAAATAATATTATACAAAAGCAGAAGACAATACAGCAAATTCTCATATATATCCATATATACATATGTATTTAGTTATATGCACTTATATATGTGTGTGTGTGTGTGTGTGCGTTTGTCTTGAATCCATAAATTTTAATTTCTCAATGCGCTTAAGCATGACAAAATGCCCCTCTCATACCCTAACCGAGGGTATGACAATTTTGTCGCGAATGTGGCATATGCGACCACATTAAGTGAATATAATCATAAAATAAATTAAAAATAAACTAACTGTATGTATTTAAATTTATTATTGAGCAAAATCAACAGGCCATTCAATAATAGTCCCTTAGTTTTTAAACTTTCCTGATGAAACTTATTAAACATAATTTCTTTCTGAACAGACAAAAAAACTATTTATTTAATTGATGAAAAAGTTGGTACGATCAAAACATCAAAATCATCGGACGCATACCTGATATATCTGTTAAAAGCGGAAAAGTTAGGCTTTTATTTAAAAATCTTTTTTGTTTTTTTAAGATACCTCCAGCAATATAAGTAAGTCAGTTACTGAATACTTAAACAAAAGCTAAAACTAAAGAGCTGCCTGGAATCGTGGAAAAAGAAATTGTTTCCTGACCAACTTTTTAGTTTTTCAAGATATCTGTAGACATACTCAGTAAGTAAGGATTCACTGTGCTCCTCATTTGTTAAACATGTTAAATCGAAATACTATATATACATATGACATAGCTTTCATAGGACTAATTGTTCAAAAAGTAAAATTTGTGCTGTTTTGAATATCTTAAGCTTTTATTTTTGAAAGAGACCGGAAGATATGCATATAAGGGAAATTAAATCATTGATTAGGGGTATCCAATCTAAACTATGTTATGATGTTATTAAGGCGTCTTTCAAAAGTACACATATATGTTAACCCTAAATCAAATTTTGTGAAGCTAATCAAATTTAAGCTACATTGAAAGCTGTGAAAAGTTAAGACAGATTGTATTATTTTTCACCAAATCAACAATTGGTAGCTTCACGCATCGAAGCACTTAATCAAAAAGCTGTCTAAGAAACTAACTGTATGATTATTATGTAGTGCATTGATCATTTGTGTGCAAGAGTATTTAAACTTCGACATGTCAATGATGAATTCCTCATATTATTTTTTTCTTTATTGTTGCCACCTTGCATTGATTTATATGAGTTGCAACGGAGCACAAAATGTCTGCAGTTCACAAAATGGCGGCTGTTTGAATTGTTGCTATTTACTTTTGGGTTTTGAATTTGAATTGTTTATTTTTGAATTGTTTATAAAATGTATGCAAATTATGTTTTCATTTACACAAAGAGGCATTTGAATATTTAATTGAAATTGGGAAAACAAACGCAATAACAAAATGTGCCACGAAAATTGTGTAAAGCAAATGAAAAGCGTTGCCGACAAAAGTAAATGCTTTTGTATATACAAATATATATATGTATATAGCTAGTAGGATGGTGGTGTAGAGGGGGCGGGTTGCGACAGGGTAGTCAAGAGGTGCTGGGTCAGACAGCAGAGCTACAGTTCTATTTATTGCGCAGCTTTTGTGCGCTGGGGATGGCAATGCCCTTTGCCATCTTAGATATCGCACCAAAGACGCAGGCCAAGGAGGTGCTGGCGGGGGGCGTTGGTTGGAGCAGCTAAACAGAGGGAGAAACAGAGAGAGAGAGACAGAGAGTGACTGAGAGGGAAGTGTGGAGGTGGAGGCAGCAGCAGCAGCAGCCGGTTGCCCAGCAAATGTTACGTTTATCTCAGTGTAACATCTTTTACTTGGGGGCACACTCAGGCTGGGTGTGTGTATGAGTATGTGCACTGTATCTGTATCTGTATCTGTAGCTGTATCTGTATCTGTATATGTGTGCATGCTATGTATCTGCAGCTGTATCTGTAGCTGTTTATGTGGCTGTGTGCGTTACCCCACTGCCCACACAGCACAGACATTTTATCAGCTCATTTTTTTTCTGCTTTATTTTATTTTTTTTTTCTGCTTTATCTGACAAAACATTCATTAAATTGTTCGCAGCCAGCGCAAAAAGTCGTTTGCAGTTGCCAACCCTCAGCGCTGAATTGCCCTTTGGGGGTTGTTTTGGAGCAGCCCCCACAAGGCACACACACACACACACACATAGACACACACACACACAAAGAGAAGATGGCAAAAGATAGCGCCCAGATCTCAGGCAGCAGCGCAACGAAAATTTCTATATCTGATGCTGGCTTTGACTTGGGTAACTGTCAGTTGGTGGTTGGGCGCGGGTTTTTTTTTTTTTTTGGGTGGCTACCAGCGCAACGAAATGAAATGAAAAGCCGAGGCATCGAGGCAAGCGCCAACAAAATGTCCGGGCCATAACAGTTACACATATTTACATATATATATTGAGCTATATATATCTTCTTTTTTTTGATCATGTTTTGCAGTGTTTGTAACAGAAATAAAACTTGTGCGACTGTGAAATTTAATTTAAAAATTCAAATTTCGTTTGTGGCAGCACAAAATGGACTAGGCTCGCGTATACTCTATTTTTTCTCCTTTTTTGCCTTTCTTTTTTTTTATATCCTGGACTCATTTCCTTTTTGCCAAACGGATTCGTTGAGCACAGCCACATGCTGTTAGCAGCTTTGGGGCGTGGCAGGGCAGGCTGTTGCTTTGGA